CATAGGCATGGGACGGGTAGTGCACGCATAATTCACAGTTTAGAATCAAATAGTGCGTTTTAGGTAACAACTTCAAGATAGTAATCGAGTAGCAGGAGATGATAGTATGTGCCCACTGAATAATATGAGTAACATTCCATCTTGAGGGAGTTACGAAGTATTATTTATGTTGCACGGGGTGATCTTTTAGGCTAAAAAATTTAGGACCCCCCCCAACCTTGTCTGACAATCAACTATTTGTGTTTAATAATGAATTTCCCAGATTTCGTGTTTTTCTTATCTTTGATCACATAGACTAATTCATATAATTAAGTTCGTCCGGGACCCACAGTTGTGGACCTCGAAGAGTGCCTAACACCTTCTCTTTGAGGTAATTTCGAGCCCTTACCCGATCTTTGGTGATGCAAACTTGTTAATCAGAGTTATCTGCAAATAGGTTCCATAACGCACCTAAATCCATTAGGTGGTGACTCTCTCTTTTAACACCCTTCCTTAAAAGAGTTGTCACGTGTAGAAACCTGATTTTGCGAGAAAAAGGGGTGCGACAACATTGCTGATGAGATATTTCGTGTTTTTGTCATTTCTGATACGACATATCGGAGGAGGAATCGGGGAGCTCATGTCATTTCTCATCAACTTATTCTCTGAGAAACGAGGAGACTATTTGTATATGGGTAAAACCGGTCTCGTGGTACACCCCGGTCTCCGATATGATAAGCCAAGCTCGAGATATGATAATAGGGGGCCGAGACCGAGGTAGAGGTCTCATCGATTAGGAGTCCGGACCATAATGCCCACCCTCGTGGATATCGAGGTCGTGATTCGGGATCGGTCTTAGCCTTGATTAACTTCGAAGAAAGTTGTCAAGTAGTCAAGCCCAGCCAATAGAAGGCCATGATATTCGTGACCGACCGAATATCACAGTGGAGATCTCAACACGTATCGATAAGAAATCGGCAATCAGTTAATTATGAGATTTTTACCTTTTATAGAGTTGTACCTAATGTAGAACTCTCATACTATATAAAGGGGGTCGGGTTACTTGTAAAACAGACTTTAATACGCATTCCAAAGAGTATCATTTTCTCTCTAATTTAGCTCTTTCCACTTGTTCACCAGTGTTGACAATAGCGAGCCCGGATCGAGGGTGAACAATTTCACTAAGGTTGAAGCTGTCTCATTCATGTGATTTGAATTCATTATATCTTTACTTGTCAATCTAATCCAATTTATAGCTCAAATTAATCTGTGTATCCTTAAAATCACTTATAAATTAAATTATTATCCGACGTGGGTAAACAAAGGTCTTATAAATCAAAGCCAACAAATATTAGGCAACAACTCTAACTTTTTTTTTATTTGGCTATTCAGTTGAAAAACTTCCTCACAGAGAATGATAAAGACCAGGGATAAGAATCACTATAAAAAACTTATTCACACCCGATATTTATATCAACCAAATAAATACATGATAAGTAGGGGTATTAATAGATAATTAAAAACTGACCAAACCGAACTATACCATACCAAACAGTTTTTTAGGTTTCTTTTAATAAAACCGTAGGCTTTTATATAAATCTATAATTGTGCCGATAATTAGGATAGGTTTTTTATTTTATGAAAATAAATCGAAAAAAATACCGAACCATACCGGATAAATTTACAATATGAAAAATATCTTTATATATTAAGTTTAAAAACAATAAAGCAATAAATCTTTTTTTGGGCCTTGGAATTATGAAATAATAACAATCCACAAGTAATTAAACTAAAAATCTTAATTCCCAAATACATTTTGCTACTCCTATTGAAATTAAATTATTTCTAGCATATTCACTAGAAAGACATAAGGTGTAGCGATTATGAGTAGCAAACTACAATGTATTCATTATGTTTTCTTTTGTGTGATTTGGATTTATCTTTTTGAATAATATTTAATCTTCTATAGACTTTATTATTGAATCTCAAATTGGTTTCACTCGTGTAATTTGTATTTTCTTTGTATTTGGTTAGTTTTCTAGTCATCTTTCATATTTTCTTAATTCATCACCTTTTAAACGGTAAAAATGTCTAAAGAGTTTTACTAAGTCCTATAAAAGTACGTATGTTTGCATTCTACTTCTACTAGTGACTTATACATGCCATTTAAAAAATATTACCGAAAATTTATCGAACCATATCGATACCAAAGAGAAACCGAGATGATTAGGACGGTTTCGAAAAGTCTAATTTTGATTATACATAATAGAATAGCCGAAAAATTAACATGGTACAAATTTTATAAAATAACCGGCGAACCGAACCATTGACACCCTAATGATAAGTACGTTCTTTTATATAAACTTTCTGTTAATTAATCATAATTAATTATTACACCCGTGAATATGTTTTTCGGTGACGGGAGTTTGGTATTAGTTCCCTAACAACCTGGAGGACTCTGGTATTAGTTCCCTAACGACCTTCCCCTGTTTTCTGAGCAGCAATGAAAAGGACAAACCTTCATTCAATGCAGAATTTCTGGGTCGGAACAATGTCGTCAATGTTTCTCTGTGTTCAAACAGTAATAACATGCCAATTTGGCCACAACTTATGTAACTAACATTAAATCATTCGAACGTACTTCATTTCAAGCAGAGTTTCTGGGGGTTGCCTTGTGTTTTACTGCATATATGGCCTCCATCTGAATGGTCACTAGTACATGAATGTAATGAGTTATATATATATATATATATATATATAGTGAACGATCGTTAAAAAATATATATACCGAGCAGTCTAGTGCACAAAGCATCATGTATTCACACATGGTCTGTAGAGGGGCCACACCCTAAAGGGTGTTTACGTAAATAGCATACCATAATGCAAGCATACAACTCAAACCCGTGATTTATAGGTCACACAAATGGGTTCCAAGGCTCCTCTTTAAGGGCAAATAGCTTTAAACTAGGTGGAAATGACACCATGTAGCATCTTGTTTAAAATATATTTAAAGATTAGCCAATTTCGCTCAAACTTCAGGACACGACGTCCTAGAGTTTAAACTTCAAAGTTCTAACTTTAGGACATCGTGTCCTAAAGTTCGAAAATTGTGTCCAGAAGTTCGAATCTTATGTCCTGAATTTTAAATTAGTAGCAGCTCAAAAATTCAGAATACTAAGTCCTAAATTTCCAAATTCAGAATATTTAGTCCTGAAGTTTGGATGAATTGACTAATCTTTAAATACATCGTAAATTATGAATATATTTTAAATAACGGGCTTAAAAGTAGCTATTGCGCCTGCACTTCGCCCTTAAAGGTTTTGTTTCCTACACTGGTACCGAAAGTGTATTCTTACGCAACTCTGATCCATAATTAATTGGAATTTGGACATATCATGAGACACAAGCTTGAACCATGGAGTCATCAGCAGCCCACAAAATTCTGCATGTCTAACTGAATGGAAACACAATGTCTTTGGTTTGGCTTATGTTTGTGGTCCTTTTGGTTGACGGATCTTTACACAAATAGCCGATCGGATTTATTATTTATTTTTTCTAGCAGAAATACATAATTTATACACGGGTATACACATTATTAATGGATTATGTTTATATTATACATCTGTCGATTATTATTTTTTTCAAGCAGTTGGGTGACATTTTCTTTGGTTGTTAATTTGGCTATGGTGACTCCACAACTAACAGAATTAGGCTTAACATTCACTCTCAATCGTTGTGATACGGAAGATCTTTTTGATAAGGCAACTAATATGGTTTCCAAATATATCGATAGTTATAATGTTTTGTACACTGTCCATAAATATAAGTTAGATCCATTTTTAACGGATGGGGACCCTAATAATTTAATATTCCTGCTTAGACCACCCTAAAAAAGGAAATTTGTGATCAATGAACAGCTATAATTGCATTTGGCATCATCATTATTAGTTGGGCAAACGCAGCCAATTGGGTTGTTCACTCATTTGACAATTCTGTAATAGAGACGCCACATTTACATTATGATTGAACCTTTACTTTTTAGCCAACCATGCAAACTCTAAAGTAGCTTTTTTATGTTTTGCCTTCTCGTCGTTACATTCGATAGGTGCACCAAGAGGGTGTTTGGATTGGTTTTTAAGTTGGTCAAATCATTTTAACTGTTTTTAGTATTTGACAAAACTATAAAGTTATTAAAATAAGTTTAAAATTACTTAAAATAATCCAAAAGTAATAACATGAGTAATCCCAACTTATTGTTTTTTGGCTTAAAATTATTTCTATTGAAAAGCCACTTTTTTAAAGTTTCTATTGGAGAACAAGGCATGATTAACAAAAAGAATGAACATAGTGAAAACATTAAATTACGACGATATTTTCACATACTATGGATAGCGAAGGAGACATTTCTATTTTCCCTTCAGGAATCTTTAGAATTTTCACTTCGGACTATCAAATGGAATGTGAATAACCAGTCATCCTCTTTTTGAACAAAGGGGACACTTTCGGTTCTTGAGTCAAGTTTATCTTATTTTTATTACTATATCTCTAGAGTCAATAACTTTATAAGAGGAATTACTGAGCTTAATCATTTGTTGTCGTAACTCTTCAATTTTCGGTATATCGTGCAGAGGTACTCAAATTGGAACATCAATCGATTCTTAGGTTTCGTCAATTAGGTTGGCTATTTCCATTGCGTAAATCAGTAGTTCAAAGGGTCAAGACACTATCAATATAAATTTACTTATAACTACATTATAAGTGATATGATCATTTTGGAAATTATTTTTACACTGTCTATGCACATAACTTAAAGGACTTCTAGCTTCTAACTTACAACTCCCCGGAAACTAAAGGACTTTCCAAGGGAACCCATAAAAATAGTAATGCAATAAAAGGGAAAGAAAGGGCAACATTTTGCAGCTATGACAAAACTAGGAGCCTAAATAGAACTTTTATTATTTGTAAAAAGATCAAACTTTCAAAAAAAATAATGAGAAAACTAATTAATTTAAGAAACTATATTACAAGTGAAGGTCAGGAAAGTTGAACCAGATTTCTTGAAATGCTTTGATAATAAGATCATGATATTCATTTGAATTCAGTGAAAGGTAACAAGCAAGAAGATTTTCCAAGTTTTTTGATGCTTTGATATTGTTCTCAACAATCATCTCTATCATTGATTCTCTAAAATCCTTTTCAGGATCAGTTGAAGTTTTCACTATTGCAAAACTCCCAGCTGAAAAGCTCTCCTTCTTTGGCTTTGAATGCCTTTTTAATGACACACTAATTTTCTTGTTTGCTATTTTTGTAGAATTTGTTCGTAGTTTTACACCAGAAGAGTTGGAGAAATATTTAGTTTCTTTTTCTTTTTGAATCTTAACACTGACCTGTTTGGTAAGAATTGGAGGGAGGTCAAGTTCTGAGATGGTATGATCATAGCCTGAATCTAGATTCTTGAATTCTTTGGTCTGAACTTTACCATTCATGTCTATGATTATATCAGTAGCTGAAGAACTGAACTGACAAGAGGCAAGTTCAGTGAAAGATTGAGAATCAGAGTCAAATTCTGAGGATGGAGAATTAAGGAAATCCAATTCAGGGAATTTATTGGAATTAGAAATGTGTTTAGGAGAAGGCTTGTAAATGGTCTTTCTTTTGGTTTTTTTATTTGATGATTTTCTTGGTGGATCAAGAAAATAAGCATGAGAATTGTAAATCTTGCTGCCACCTCTAATGGATTCTGTAGTATAATAAAAAGATGATCTAGGTTGAGAAAATGGTGAATTTTGCAAAGTAGTGGAAGAAAATGAGAAAGGGTTTTTCTTCTTGGAGGTAGAGGTTTTATGGTTTTTGGTTTTGTTCATATCTCTAAGCTTGTAAAACCAAGTATTTGGCATCATATTTGAAAACCTAAATTTGTGATTTCCCATTGAGGAAATCCTTTCTTTTTTCTACTTGTTAAACTCTCCTTGTGTGGTTGGTTTGAACCTTTGCCTCTTTATTTATAGCAAATCAAGAAAGTTGTGCTAAATATATTGATATGGGGTAATATATATCCACTTAATTTATGTAACACATTTCGCTTATCTAGAGTCAAACCGTGTAAAGTTTTAAAATATATCTTTTATCATATTCACATGAGAAAAATTGCAACTTATAGTATTTTTCATATAGTTATTGAATATCTAAACTTTAATTTAAAATACTAAGATGAATTAATTCAATTTAATTTTAAAATTTAATCAAATTGACTCTTAAATGGGTCATTTAAATTATGACAGATGAAGTAATAGAGTTGAAATAAGGAGGTCCCCTATTGGAAGGTATGTCATGAAAAACAAGTGGAGTACATTGGTTTTTATTTTATGTAAGCCAGCTCTTTATTTTTAGTATGTTTTTTATTGCATATATCAGGCAGGTTATGGGAATTTTAGTTTTTCATACTACAGACAGTATTGAAAAGTCAAAGGCAAATTATACCCATAATGCTGTCACAAGAGGCAAATCATAATTTAGAGTCCGTGAATTTTGTAAGCTCATGATCTTATTTTGTGTATACGATCTAAATTCTTTTTTTATACATATATGTAGTTCGAGCCGAAAGGAAATAAAGGTCCCGTTTCCCCATATATTTTGGCAACATTTTTTCAAATCTTTTTGAAATATTGTTTGTTTATAGATTAATGATCTATTTTTGAAAAATTTTTGAAATTATTTTTCAAGTTCCCAAAATCTAGTTTAGGGTAGATTTTGGGTGAAACTCGTTCTCCCACTCACAAAACTTCAATTTTTCAAATAAAATGCATGTCCAAACATAATTTCAACTTCCAAAAATTATTTTTTAAAACTATTTCAAAAATTACTTTTTTAAGTTTCAACTAAATCTATGTCCAAATGCTAGCAAATCCACCTCTGTAAAAGAAAAAGGAACCACAATGAAGAATCTGTGTCCACTATTTTCTCAGATTTTATTTTTCTTGTTTGCTTTTCTGAGGAATAAGTTGTCATTTTATTTGTTTATAAGTACCTTATGACGGACTTTCTCAAGTCTGACTCGGCTACAAGTGCCATGAGAGAATAATAATGAATGATGTTTTTTCATTAGTCAGTATAAAAATAATTAATTCACTTCGCACTCTTTCATCTTTTACCATAGGTCTTAAATTTAAGTTTCCGTATAAAATCATCATCTTTGTTAAGAAGCGATTTACCCTAAAACCGATATAAAACTTTTCAACGTGAATTCAAATTTAATCTGGCTCCTACGAGTGCAAAAAAAATAATACTATTTCCCCTGCAAACACAAGTGAATAATCTACTCCATGATTTATGAAGTATCAAAGAATGGAGGCCCGTGAGCCGAATCAACTGCCCAAGGATTCAGGTGATGACTTTTCTGACTCCTCTTATTGAAAAAATGAATTACTCAATCAATGTGGAATTTCTCTTGTGGCAGAGACAAAACTCAATCAACCACTGAATCCTGTGGCACTGAAATTTTATTCTAATTCCGTACCTCTCATTCCCATATTTTTTTTTCAAGATCTTTATTTCAGTTTGAAATTAAATAAACGATAGGAAAAATATTCCTTTCATAGTGTAAGATATCTGAACATGTAAGTACACAATAATTATAGTGCTTATCCGTGATTAAATGGAACTTGGTTCTGTGTATATGTTCTTCTATCATTAATATATAAATGCATGCTATTCTTCATATTTTGATGCCTAAAGCAAATAACAATGCTGTACTTCAATTCTTCTCTCTCTCTCTCTCTCTCTAAGCAAATGACTGCAAGCTATCTATAGTAAAGGTAATATATGGAAAGTCTAGGTAAAAATAGCACGGGCTAACCAGTTTTCGGACTGGTCATTGAAAAATAGCCACTATTTTGCTGCAACACGGAAAGTTCCAGCTTAATATACTGGAGATCGGTGCATATGTGTATGAACTTCCAGCATATTATGCTGGAACTCCAACACGCGGAAAGTTCTAATTATGCTGGATCGGTATACTTATGCTGGAACTCTAGTATAATATACTGAAATTCCAGTATATTATACTGAAGTATTTTTCAGGATTTTGAATAGCATTTTCGTTTAGATTTATCTTTACATGAAAAGTGGCTAAATTTCGATTACTTTTGAAATTGTGGCTATTTTGGAATGACCACTTGTAAATTTGGCTATTTTTGAATATCTCCCAAAGTCTAGGCTATTAGGTTCAGGAAAAAGATTCGTTGGGCCAAGCAAAAAGACCTTGCAGAAATGACACCAGTTAGCCACTCTTAAAGGGTTGCTATTTACAAAATAGATAATGTGTCCTCAATTTCAGTTTTCTAATTGAGGGTTCAATAATTATAGTGCCTATCCGTGACTAAATGGAACTTCGTTCTGCTTATATGTTCTTGTATCACTTATATTTAAGTATGATATAATATTCTTCATGTATTGATACCTAAAGCAAACAAAAGTGAGTCTGACCGGTTATTTGTGTAACAACTCTAACTCTTATCTCACTGCTGCAAGCTATTAGGACCAGGATTGTATGGGCTAGGACTGAAAACATTTCGTCCAGGAAAAAGACTTGGGTCAATTAAAGGAATAACTTGAAGGTTTATTGGAAAAAAAAGAAAAAGAAAAAGGGGAATATAGAAGACTTACCCTAACTAACATTTAAAAGACTATTATTTCCCTTATTTGGTTTCTCAGCACTTATTTGGTTATCTTGCAAAGTTTTCGTTTTTTTTTTGTTTAAAAGTTTCTTTAAGCAATTTTTTAAGATAACTTTTTGAGAACACTCATAGAACCTAACTAACGAAATGCATTTTGTGTCCCGAAGGGACGGCCATTTGAGTTTGGAGTGCGATTTCCACGCGGATGATGCAGGTTCGAAACCAACTCTATGCTCTTCTGGGTCTGAGCCTGTTGCACGGTGTTTTACATCCCTTGTGTGGGTTGCAGGCTATTACACAGTGGGGGCTTTACCCAATGCGCACAGAGTGCTCACCCGAAGGGCAGAGACTGTAGCGGCTGCGGGTTTTCCTGGGGTTCCAAAAAAAATGCATTTTGTACAAAACTTTCCTAATAAATACTTCCAAAAAAAAAAACTCAACTATAATTCTACATGCACTAAGAAACATGAACCAATGAAAATAAGAGGCACATTTTATACTTTATTTTTATATATTATATCAATAATTTTATGCATGTACAACCATTTTTCCTTTATGTAAAGTTTGAATTTTCTACATACTTTAATGATTAATTCACTATTTCTTACTATAATTTATGCTTAAGTTGTTATTTATAAAAGATTAAAAAATAAGATCCATGGGGCTTACGTTTGCGCCTCGCTCAGTGTAATATAAAACGTCTTGGCTTGCTCGCCGCCTTTTAAAACAATGGCTGATAGTATGTAAATGTAATTATTTCCACTGCATTGACACGATCAATTGACAACTTTAGATCTACATAAATCATACTCTCGTAATTTCTAATATATATATATATCTTAACAATCATTAAGAGTTGATAACATTTCTTTCATGGGGTACCACCTTTTTTTCCTTCCACATGAGAGACGTGTAACCCACCACTCATTATTCTCCCCCACCTTAAAAACGAGCACCCCAATATAATACACCAAAGTCCAACAAATTTGATCTTAGAGCACTCATAATTCTCATATCAATTCCAAACTAAAAGTAAGATAAGCCAAAAACCATCATTCTTCTTTATATTCAAAAAATGAAAGTGAATGTTTCATGTTGCTTCAAATTCAAGCTTAACAATCCATGCAAGAAAATACTAAAGCTGTTCAAGTTCAAACTAAGAAAGCCCCTCTTTATAAAAAGGCTTAGATTTCGACCTTCAAGATGTGAAAGCAATACAAACACTAGTAGTAAAAAGCAAGCTTCAGAAGTTTTGTCAGTGTTTCGTTCAATAAGAAGACAACCAAGAGAAGATGACCAAGTCATGGAGCACAAGAATTTCTGTGATGCAGGTACGTAGAGTTGACAAATGAGCAAATTGAGTAAAAAATTTGGCAGATCAAAACTGGTCAAATTAATAAAAGGGTCATCAACCAACTAGTCCAAAATTTTGTTGTGTCAAAATGATTGGTCATTCAAAAATAGCCAGCGTTTACGAAGTCAATGAAAAATAGCCACTATTTTGCTGCAACAGAGATCGGTCCAGCATAATATACTGGAGTTCGGTGCACCCGTGTATGAACTCCAGCATATTATGCTGGACCGGTATACTTTGCTAACTCCAGTATAATATACTGGAGACTGGAGCACCGGTGCTCCAAACTTCAGTATATTATACTGGACAATTATACTTGCTGGAACTCCAGTATATTATGCTGGAGTTCCAGTGTACTTATGCTGGAACTCCATCATATTATGCTAGAGTTTCAACATACTTATCTTGGAACTCCAGTATAATATGTTGGATATACTGGCGTATTTTTCGGGGTTTGAACAGTGTTTTCGCTCAGATTTATCTTTACATGAAAAGTGGCTAAATTTCGATTACTTTTGAAACTAAGCTATTTTTGAATGACCAGTTGTAAATCTGACTATTTTTGAATTTCTCCCCAAAATGAATTTAGTCAATAGAAAAAACCCAACCCGCTTAGCCGAAATCAGTAACTTCGGTCTAAACTTTGAATTTGTCTAATGAAATCCATTAAAATGTATTGATTATTACGTACCGTAGAACCCAGTAACTAAAAAAATAGATATTTATACAAATAGCCGGCGATATTCACTATTTATTTTTTCTAGTCATATATATAATTATATATTTACACAGTTATACACATATAATACATAAATTATACTTTTACCGGCTATTTTTAATTTAAGCAATTAAGCGAGTGGCTATTTGGGTT